TGCCAGAGAGAGAGAAGAAAACAAAACAAAACAAAACAAAACAAAACAAAACACTCCCCCATGGAGTGTGGTCACACTGCAATCCATTTCTCCATCTACTCAGGATTTGGGGGCACACATGCATACCCCCAAAGTGTTTTTTGGGCACCATGGCTGGGATTTGAACCATGCTCAGCTATGTGGAATCTAGATTTCTATGCACAGTGCTTAACGGCTGTGCTACAAGGCTAGCCAAAATCAGCAGTACTTCTCTACATTAGGACTGAACAGCTGAGGGACCAGCAGATGGTCTAATGGTTACATCGCTGGACTCCCACGTAGTCCCCCGCAGTTCAAGTCCCCAACCTGGTGGCTTAAAGCTCACTCTGGGCACATGTGCATGCATGCCCCAAATCAGAGGAGAATGAAGGAGAAGGGTTGAAGCATAGCAATCCTCTCTCGGGGGTGATTTCTTGCTTTCTACCTCTGTCACTCTGTTAAGTGCATGCACCCTATAGCAAAAATTGCTCACTCTCAAAAAACAGGAGTGAACAGGTGAAATGACAAAAACAATCAAATACTAAAGCATCAAAAACAATCAAATACTAAAGAATACATTTAAGGAAAAATCTACCAAGTTAGTATACTGAAGACTGCAGTCTCAAAAGTGTGCTACTTTGGAGAGACATTAATGAAAATCTAAATAAATGTAGACACTTTAGGTTCATGAATTAGAAGATGGAAATAATTCACAAATTGATCTAGAGATTCAATGTGATTCCTATCGAAGTCCCAGCTGGTTTGTTTGCGGCTGTTTGTGTTTCTGTTTAGTTTGGCCAGAAACAACCAGCCAATTCTAAAATTCATATAGAAATACAAGGGACCCAAAATAGCCAAAGCAATATTTCAAAGGAAGTTGGAGAACTCACTGTTTCTGCCTTCAAAATGTTTCTTGCCAATTCTAGTAATTAAGGCAGTGTGGTACCAGCATTTGGTAGATATTTCTATCAGTGGAATATCATTGAGAGTCCAGAAATAAAGCATTTACTGATTGTTTTTTTAATGAAAGTGACTATTCAATGGGGAAAATAATAGTCTTCTCAGCAGTGTTGAGATAATTAGATATCCATATGTGAATGAAGTTGAACTCCTATCTCGGACCATACAAAAAAATTAATTCAAAATCACAGATATAAATGTAAGAGTTGAAATTATAAAACTCTTAGAAGAAAACAAAGGAGTAAACTTTGTGACTCTGGATTAGGCAATGGTTTCATAGCTATGACAGCAAAAGCACAAGTTACAACAGAAAAAAAGAATAGGTAACTTGATTATACAAACATTTAAAACTCTGTTCCTCAAAGGATGCCATCAAAAAATATAAAAAGACAATTCATACACTAGGAGAAAATATTTGCAAATCATTTATCTGATACAGGAACTGTATTTAGAACATATAAAGACAACTTACAACTCAAATAAGAAAATGACAGGTTACCCAACTTGAAAAATGCGCAAAGGATTTTAATAGGTATTTCTCCTAAGTTGATATATGAATGATCAATAAGCACATGAAAAGGTGCTCTACATCATTAGTCCCTAAAGAAATGCAAATCAAAACCACAGTGAGATACCATTTCATACCTACTAGGATGGCTATAACAAAAAGACAGCATAAGAAGTGTTGGCGAAAATATGGAGATACTGGAACTCCCATCCATTGCTAGTAGGAATGTAAAATGGTACAGTCACTCTGGAAAAGAGAGTGGCAGTTCCTCAAAAAGTTAAACATAGAGTTATTAACTTAGTCCATTATTAACAGAAATACCTGAGACTGGGTGATTTCTAAGAAATAGGAATTTTATTTGCCTTATGATTCTGGTGACTATGAAGTCCAAAGGCATGGGCAGGTATCACAATACAGCCAACAGAAGTGGACAGGGTGGTGGACATGTGCAAAGGGAAAGACTTTGGAACAGCCACTTTCCTTTTTTAATAATCCACTCTTGCGAACAGGAATTATCCCCTTCTCATTACAGAGAGAAATCATTCTGTCTCATGATACAGCATTAATTCATTCATGAAAACAATGCCTTCATGATTTGAAACTCACTCACTAGACCTCC